CATACATATATATATATATATAACTCCTCCAAGCCGTAAATCTAACCCTTGGTATGATCAGCCCCAGCAATCCTCTGGGCTTTGGCAGGAGTGGGAGCCCGACAGAACCACACACTCGTCGGACTCCGGAAGGCAAGCATCATGTACGGGCGACAGTGTTTGCAGGATGGAATGGTGTTGACGGTCGCACCTTAGATAGCTCAAACCCCGAAATTTGCGGGTGAAGAGAATGACGGCCGCGAGGCATGGCAGAGCAGCGCCCTTCTGCTTTTGCGAGTTTCACCTGCGAAGAGCAAGTCGGAATTCGGCAGTTTTCGCGGCGCGTTGCATCCGAATGCTTTGGGTTCACGACTCTTTGGGCCAAGCTCGAGGGTCATATTCCTGCAATTGGATGACCCTTGCGGAAGTGTGCAAGGTCAGGAGAACTCTCGACCCAAGCAGCTCGAACTGTCCAACCCCCTCACGTCTGAACTCCGTCTGAAAAACCTTAAGCCTCTAAACCCTAAATCGAAGCTCTAGTTCACCTGCCAGGCTGCATATAGCAAGCGGCTTTTCGCCGACAACTTAGATCGCCACCTGGCCGGCAAGTGAAGAAAGTCTCTGGCGACCTGCCAAAGCTAAGCCGTGGAGCTTAGTGATTTTGGTTTCTGGTTTGGGGTTTAGGCCTCTGGGGTTCAGGGCTTTAGGTTTTAGGGTTCAGGGCAAGATTCGAGCAGTGGGCTCCTTTGATGCTGGTAGTTTTCTCCCACCCTCAGTATTGCCACCTTGAAGTAATTGTAATTCCTCCGTTCAACCATGACTTTCACAAGAAATGCTGCTCCGCTTGATATATGATACGCTCTATAACCGCAAATCCACTGGCAATTAGGTAGCACATGCTGATATGTCGCAAATGTATGTGTATAACTACATACATGTATATACCTGCAGTTTTTCATGCATATTGACGTACATGTGCCTGCATAACCGACTGCATACAATTACGGATGCACGCATGCCTGCAGGCTTGGACGCATACGCGCATAAGCATACACGTCTGCATCAGCCTGAAGTCAGAAAGTCACGCTTCAGCCTTGAGTCTCATCCAGGTTTGATGGGCATTCTGCAGCGGAACATCGAGAGGTCGTACGATCTCAGGTCCGGTATTGCGAAGTGTCCGCGGCAAGGGTCGAAGCCCCGCAGCGGTTCGCGGTTTTGTAATGTCAGAGTGATGAGCTTTGATACTCAAAACACGATTGCTAGCCTGTCCATGGGTAACCACGCACGGACGGGTTGCTGCGTAGCTACAAGAGCGGAGTTGCCAGACCTAAACTTGCTCCACGGCCACCAGGCCTAACGTCCGTTCCCGAATGTTGGACAGCCTTTCAGGGCTCGACCTATCCCAAGCACAATCACATTGCAAAACCCTGTCATTGCCATCATCACCAGCACGTTTATGTGCCTCTGCATTCTACAATGGACACCGGTTTTGCACCATGTCTCATATTCAACTGCCTGCCTTCCCTGGCCCTGAACAGTCCGTGGTTCATCTTTTACGATCAAGCCTTGGCTCCCTCATGGCATCTCGGCATTTGGAGGAAAGTCACGAACTCCGACATTCGGGGTTTGGGGAGTTGTAAGGTCTACAGGGTTCTGGCTCTATTCCAGTGCTTGCTTCGGCTTAGTCCCGTGATCACTGACAGCAACCACTGCAAGGCATTGCCACTGGAGTTTTTGAGATGCCCAGGGTTTATAGGCTTGAAAAAGACAGACGTTTAACGTGTGAAGAACCGAGGTCTTGTCAGCTGGTTCTGATTACTGCTATACCACCATGGAGCAGTAGTTGCTGCACTCAACTCGTACTCGCAGTCGAGGTGGTGCTGGCAGCAGAACTCGTCGTAGTCGGGTGGTAGCAGTGGCAGTAGTAGTAGTAGTAGTAGTAGTAGTAGTTCCAGCAGCAGGAGTAGCAGTAGTCTTAGTAGTAGCCGTCTTTTTTGTCGTCTTTGCTGCCGGTGTTGATGCTGTTGATGTTGTTGTCGCTGTTTCCGCAACAGCAGCCAGCAGCAGCCAGCAGCAGCAGCAGCAGCAGCAGCAGCAGCAGCAGCAGTGGGACTGGTTGCTGTAGTGACTGGACTCCAGCAGTTACAGCGCAGGTATCTATGCTGCAGAGTGCTTTCTCGTTAAAGATAGCCAGAGCAACCGAGGTACAACTTCACCACGTATCACATGGTGCGCCTGCAGAGGAATAGCAGAGACTGCTGCGCCCAGAATTAGGGCTGTGCATTTCAACTTTGTGCCTCTTACATCAAGCTCTTTCCATCTTCTCCATGTGTAGCTGAGCAGCTGAGTGACACTTCCGAAGTCTAGGTCACCGCACAGCACGGATAGACAATTATGTAGGTCGATATCTGTCAACAGCAGACATCGTCATGGCATCTCGTTGCCAGTTCCGCACAGGTACGTGCCGATCCGAACAACCTCGTGAATCCGCCGATCGAGGAGATAGAAGGCGGCTCCCCAAAGCGGAAGCCAGCACAAATCATGATTGGGCCTCCGGCTCCAAGGATTGGCTGTAGTCGCTGGAAGCATCAGGTTTTGCTCAAGAATTCATAATTGGTAGCATGTGCCGCGAACCCAACACAACCCAGAACACGAGAACCAGATCGCGTTGGTGTTGCACTGTGGCACTTTTCGGCTAGGCCATGCCACGTCGAATTGCGGTTGCACCGACTGCTGGAGAGCGACACTTCCCACAACATGCTGTAGCAAGGTACTACAAGGAAAATGCCCACCTGTGTGTTGGTCCCATGCTGGTTGCAATGATCGCCATCTTGCATGCGTTCTGACATGGTGTGCTTACATGTACATGTTGCGGTTTACAGACATGTTATGGACCTCGTGTCTTACAGTACGCACACGGGCGAACACGCACAAGCACAACATCGGCAAAGATGTGCCCACCGATGCAGCTATACAATGATGCAGACAGTCTTACATTACATACATGCCCACATACAGAATTGCGTATGCATGTCGGCTTGCATGCGATCAATCGTTGCGAATACATGCGCCTGCTTGCATGCACCAAACGGCAGTAGACTCGAAATGTTAGGCTGTGGGTATCTTTCTCTCCAGCTCTACATGTCCAGATCTATGTACATGAGTATGTTGACGCTGATGATGTCGATCTTATTTGTGTTGGTGATGACGATGGCGGTGGTGATGCTGGTGGCAGTCTGGTGATGATGATGTCGTCTTCGATGATGCAGGAACCCCTGGAGATGACGATATCCGTTCTTACTGTGGAAGGTGAAAATGGGTGTTTTGTCTGGTAGATTCCACTGCTTCCTTCTATGAGTCCGGTCAGGTATGCCGCAGAAAGCCGATGATCAGGTTCTTCGTGGTCTACCGGGCGCCTGGGCGATTCATGTCCTATAGAATACGCAGCAGCAGGTTGTCGTCGTTCCGTAAAGAAGAGGTGCCACCATCTGTGAAGACATGAGAAGCAGTCGCCACGGCATGACACAGCGGGGCAAGTTGGTGTCAAGGTGCCACCATCCTCAAAGACACGCACGTCGCTCAGCTCACGGCCCAGGGCCATGAGCTCAGCATCCGATACATCTGAGGTTCTTTATTTCTTTGTAAACTACTTGAACCATTGAGAATCGAGAAGACAGCATTCAGATCATTCATAGCAGCACGGGGAATGGTCAGGGTTATGATGGCTCTCTGGCCGTAGTGATGATGGGGCATGAAGACCATTTTTTCATACCGCGCTGACGTTGATCATGGTGAGTGGCAGTAGAAAACGACTTACAAGTCAAAGCAAACCGCTTTGCCTGCCTAATGTCAACCTCCGACAGTCTCCGGTCCCTCACTTGGCGCTCCCGAGCCCAATTTTGACTGTTCGAGGCGCCTGCTTCGATGTTCCGCCGCCAGTGCATGTCAAGTTCGCCGCGACCGCACGATGAGGTGCGATGTGCCATTGATGACCTGTGGTTTTGGCATGGGGGCCGGTCCCAAGGTTTGATTTGAATTCGGGTTCCTCCGGGACTCGACGGAAGCTGATCTCTGCGGTTCCTCGTCGGGTATATGTGCGAAGCCGTGGAGCAGGAATGTTTAGGAATCTCTGTCTTAGGGCACAGATCTTTCTCCCAAGAAAGCAATCTGTACTTAATGATGGAAGAGGTCAGAGTGGCAACGGCGACAACGACAACAAGAGCCACAGCAACAGGACGAGGAACTGGAAACGGCAGCAGAACAGGAAAATAAGCAGGAACAGCAGCAGCAGCAGCAGCAGCAGCAGCAGGAACAACAACAAAAATAACAAGCAAAGCAAGTTGAAGTGGTAGCAACATTAGCAACAACCACAACAGCCACAGTAAACATAATAGCTACCTCTCCCGCGGCGGACTGTTTCATCATTCCATCGTCTTAAGTCGCCAACCCAAGAACCCACACAAAGCACTAAGACCGGTTTGTTTTGCGGAGACATTGCGGAGGTCCGTCGGGCCTGTGGACGGCAAACCCACCTGGGGGAAAACTATTGGTGCAATCTGTCCATTGAGGGCGGTTGGCTTTCAATTCTTGTGAGTAGCTGACACGTGAAGGCGAAAGCTATGGAACTGTGGTATCTCGGATACGGAAGCATGACACGCTCTTTGCGCCTCCCAGAAGCAAGTCTCACCTGTGTCACCGTTGCTGGCCATGCTCGCCGCTTGTCTTCACCTGTGGCAGTTCTATGGCATCAGGTCGTTCTTGTCTTTTCAGAGTTGCAGCATGGCCTGACCAACATGAATTCAGCCCCGCGCACTGTGCCTTGAGAAAAGAGCCACGCAATGCCGGATCAAGACCCTGTTAGACCAGGAAGGGCCGTCGAGCCTCCCGGAAAGTGCAGTGAGATCTCTCTACAAGGACCCTCTGAAAGCCTCGTCACATCTTGCACCTAGTGCAGAGATGGAGGAACGGCGGTCTGACCTTGCAAGCAGCATCACAGCAACAGGTATCAAGGACAGGAGCTCCGGGATGGAGTCTTGCAGTTTGCGGGCTACCCATGTCGGCAAGTAAGTTTGCAGGGTTGTTGAGGAGCAGTAGGATTTCTGAGAGGCAAGAGTTCCAAGGTACGATAAGGAGCATACTTTTGCGCTGTCCCATGTGTGCAAATGGAGCAGAAGCCTTGAAGCACTGCACCGGACTCGTACCCATTCCGGATCGAGTTAGTCCTCACAAGGCTCCCACACGAGCCTAGCGATGTGAATATGCCGTCGCCAAGCTGATGGTAGAATTGTTCGTTCATCGGTTGTCCATGACCCAAAGAAGTTCCGACATGCACGTTTAGACGTATCTACACTTTCACCAACGTTTTGCACCCTGAGCCACATTTCGTTTAGGATGGGCTTTGACTACGGACTCGAGGGTTTTGAGTCACATCTTAAGCAATCGTTCATGTCCATGCCTGGCGGTGAGTGAAATGTCGCTGCCAGCGATAAACCCCGTGGAGGTGTTGTTCTTGTGGCCCAATGTGGTGTGCTTCCGGACTGCACGGAATCAGCCAGTCAGAACATGAGATAAGGATGGGAAGAGCTTTCAGCATTGACAGCAGCTTGCATGACTGGCTGTTCCGATGTTTCGCAAAGCTCTGGGAAGAACTTCTCATCGGTTTTAGGCAGAGACAGCTGTGACAAGAGCGCTTCTTATCTACCTCTCTTTGTCTCTGTTTCCGATCATGTATATCTGAATCTAGTTCTATATTTTCCCTTGATGCATATAATATACTTGTACCTGGTATCATGCGAATTTATGGTTCTGTGTCGTTCTTTATGTCTGGGACTTGTCTCTCTCGGATACATGATTTATCACGGCCGTTGTCACCCTGTTGCCGTCGCGGTTACCATCTGAGCTGCTTTTTCCACGTGAGGGGTTTGGGCTCTCTGGTCTATGGTGACGCTGTTTGGCTGTCTGGCGAAGTGCGCAGACGAGCAGCCTGTAGCACTAGGGCCACTCTCGATGTGAAGGGCAGGTGTACAAACAGGGTGCAAAACTCAAGATATGAATTTCCTTCCAAGCCGCAACTCTGACTGGAACTTGCAAAAGACAGGTTTTCTGCGTCCCAAAGCCCAGGGATCTTAGCTGAAACAGCTCTGCAGGCTACTTCAGAGCTGCGCTGGGCACTCTGGCCTTAGGCGACTCTTGCGAGTAGCAGCCAGAAACCGACTGCTTCTCCGTTCTGCATTTCATGAAGGGTTTAGGGTTTGGGAGCGTGCTTGCTACACTTTGGTGCACCGTTGCTGCAAGCACAACCGTATCCGGAGGCCTTCCTTCAACAGACCCTTCGAAGATACCTCCCTTCCAAGAGACAGCCAAGAGCCTGCACAGGCCTGGCTTGGTGGCCTGACAACCCAGAAGCTTCTCTGGTGACCGGGATCTACGTCGGGCTCTATGATTACGCTTCAATACGGTTTACCGTGATGTGTGTTCTGTTGCCGAGATTCGGATAGCCTGTGGTCCACTGCCTGTACCTCGCAGTCTGATTGTTTCACATACTATGCAACACTGTTCTACTCGGCTAAAGGCAGAGTTGCCGAGGGTAGTTGTCACAGCCGAAGCACTGGACGTCTCCGCTGACAACATTGACTCTCAGCCATCTTGAGCCGCAAACAGCAGTCTCATACATGCTTGGGCAATCGATGACCGTGATTTGAGCAGCGCATGCAGCCAAGTTGAAATCAGCCCGTCACGTTTAGACTCTAGACTTGATGATCGATCCTGGCATTCATACCCTGTTTTTTAGTGCTCATCCAAAACAAAACAGGCAGAAAGGCGTTGCAACAAAGCACTTCAGAAGTTATTCAAGGCAAGCTTGAAGATCTCTATCCTGCTAGGGGCATGCTGATCTTCGAACTTCCAGCTGCAGGTGTTTGCCCTGTCGCTGGATTGGCTAGATGGATATCTTGCTCTGGCCTTGGGGCAACTGCTCTGCTGGTCGGTTATCCTCCGCAAGTTATGAGTTATGTGGGTGTCTTAGATGCAGATGGGCAGACAAGGAGACATGACCGATGATCATTGCTCCTTTGCAGGCTTAGGGTCTTTCCGAATTTCTCACCCATCTGCACGCTTCTCTCAGGCGCGGCGCTTGCACCAGGAGAGCTCCTTCGGGGCGGCTCTCGATGCCCCTGGGACGTAAAGTGCAGGTTGACACACACCCGTGGGGTTCGGAGTAGGGCTGCTGGTGCCTGTCACGGAGTCACTGAGATACATGGCATGCCTATCGAACTGGTTAGTGCCTCAGCATGAGCAGGTTGTAGTGGACAGCTTCCAGCGAGGAGATAGGGTTCGCCGATTTGAATCTTAGTGCGTCCTTGCCAACATGAGCTAAATCTAGCACGTCAAGCAGCTTACCGTCGGAAAACAGTCTTTGTCGGAAGCGGGTTCAGACATTCCTTGCACTCCCGAGCCTTACACCCTGCAGGAGGCATGTGGATACTAGCGCTGGGACTTCCTGGCTTCGTTGCCGTGTGACTTGAAAGCATGAGAAGCTGTGGCAAGCCCGGCTGCAGGGCCTGGTGATCATGTAGAATGTAGAAGCCGGAGTGATATTGGGGACCATAAACTATATTAGAGCCCCAAACCAGCCCAAACTCTGTTCGAATGATTATGTGGTCAGTATGCCTGTCTATGCTTGACTGCGGAACGATCAAGTCGAACCTAGTTGCCGTACTACCTTCTGAGATGTGCGTGTGTCGAAGCGACACGGTTCGTGCCAGAATGCGATGCGTCAGAGTAGTAGACTTTGTGGCGCCATCTTCTATGATGTTGTATGTGTTACATCTGATCATGTTCCGCACTCACATTGTGACATATGTTCTGCCTTTATATGCCAGGACAGCTACTTGTTCCATGTTCACATCTTGATGGGTTGCTCGAGATTTGCACAATGTAGTGACGACACAAAGAACGCTGTGCAGACATGCACGATGCTGCGGAGATCCGAGCTGCCCAGTTTCAAAGAAACATTCGACTTAATTTAATCCTCGCGAGGTTCATTGAGCTCGTGGTGTTCGCTGGCATCTCAGGTAGCTCCACTCTCCTTGGCACCATGGTGTTTTTGATCTATGGGTTTCTTTGTCGTATTTGCTCTTCTCCGTACCAGTGGAGCTGCGCCCGTATGTGTAGTGCGTCGCATCATCCATACCTGCGTGGCTACATATACACATATATGCGCACACATGTTGCAGGAGGTCTACATACATAAGTGTGAACAAATGAACCTCACCAAGTCATGGCAGGATCCTTGCATGTAGGTGCGTGCCTGTATGCATGCGTATGCGTGTACAGGCATGCATACAGTCACGGTATATTAGATGTATGCAACAGTAGCTCCGTTCGTGTGTTCTCTGCTGTTCAATGATATGCATATACAAGCACCTAAGCCCTCAACTCTAGACCAAGAGGGGCGCCAAAGGGCGACTACAACCATAAAATCTGATCAGCTCTAGACCTTCTACTGTGATCTGGTTTGAAAGCGGGTGTCCGAAGTCCGTTGCTTAGGGGCTCCCTTGACTAAAGATGCCCGGAATAATATAGGAGCCTTAATAATTACCTACAGTATTTTGGGTGTTCCTTATTACAATTATAGTATAACGGGCCCCAAAACCCTATTCTAATTATCAAGGCCTCTGTGTTATCCTGTGTCCGAAGTTGGCAAATCCGTCTCCCTAAGCCTGGAGAGTGAGGCCTGCACCCACTCCGGGGGCAAGGCATGGAAGGCCCAACGGCTGCATGTCCGGGTTTGGGTGTAGAGACTACATATTTATGGGGCTGCCGGTTTAGGGGGGGTTTAGGGATTATATGGGCTTAGGGCAGAGATTAGGGTTGCGGGTTTGAAGGTGTGGAGTTAAGTCTCCGCGACATCCGCATGCTTATGTGTAGATTCGCGTCTGCGTGAGTGTTTGAGGGTGTCCGTGTGATAACTGGTTGTCTGTGGGGTATCTGTAATGGAAACTCTGCTTTGGCATGTTGTCCCAGGCCATGCCTGACACGGAGAAATGATGAACGTGGCCATTACTATACCGAGCACAAAGGGTTTTCCAACTGTCCATGCAAGTCCCAAAGCGACAAAGTGGAAGTGCAGAATCAATCGGACTTCCCGTGGCGCTGGTCGGCTCCACCTCTGTGCGAGGTGATGTAGAAGCCTACGTAACTAATCCGCAGTATTGTCCCCGTATATGCCCTAATGCGATTCCAGCATACTATGACCCCAAACCCTGCTATATAATATAGGGGCCCAAATAATTACCAACACTGTTTTGGGGTTTCTTCCCTACAATTATGGGATAATGTTCCCCACAACCCTACTCTGATCATTAAGGCCCCTAAACCCTAAACCCTAAACCTAAACCCTAAACCCTAGACCCCCTGTGTTAGGTCAGCTGCTTTCAAGATGCTCCGTGGCTCATCGCTGCGACTTGGCTTTCACAGCGGCTTCCGTTGTTGCCTCGTCGTTCTTCCCAGCTGACGGGAGCATGCGACGCTCAGTAAGGTTCTGCAGTAATCAAAGGCTGGTAAATGGCAGGTAGCATGCAACCGGTTAGGTCGATCTCTCCTCTTCTAGCCTCAAATGCAGCTGCTGGGCAGGAAAATGATTCGTGTTAGCTACAACCGTTCATACTTCTTGATGTTTCGTTTCGTTGAACGGTCTTTTGCCGTGAGTTAGGGTCACCTGTGTATCGGCCGACCACAACACGCAGGTCCACTGAATGAGTTTGTTGGACCTAGGCGGTCATGGCCAATGGGTTCAAGTCACCCCTGGGCGCCATAACTGTGGCCGCAACCCAAGAGATCTGAGAGCTCTTTGGCTTGATCTGCCCATCTCTCGGCCAAAGCCGGTGTCCCTGTGATGTGCAGGGACCCAGTTCAGCCTCGAGACTCGCACTTCTACGAAACCGCAGCAGCGCGTCCAGGGTGTCTCTCGGAGTTTTGGAATTTCGACTGCTACCAGCAGTGAAGGTGCTGCACAACTTGCCTTTTCAGAAGTATGTAGACTTCTGAAGTCTCCACCATTAAGGGCTCTATGCGTTCTCAACCTCTGCTGAGGCCGGTCTTCATTTCTTGCCTTTGTGGCTTTGGCTCATTCGCATTCCTGGAAGGCATTCTGGGGTTTCCGATTTAGGGTTCAGAGTTCAGGGTTGAGGGCCTAGGGTTTTGGGCTGCTTCGGGTTTCGGGTGTAGGCCGTGTCTTGGGCTGCACAGTGGATGAAGAGAGCTCTCTTGGATGGCAGAGAGGGAAAATCGGAAAATCTGCAATGGGACACTAGTAAGATCAAGCTCATCGAACTATGAGGCCTAACAGTGTGACTGTCGATGCTATCGCCATTTGCACTGCTTGCTAGCCTGCGAAGTGTTGGTGTCGTTGGCATCAGTATACTGTGTTTGTTCATGACAGGTTCATCGTACATGTTGCCCTTGCTAGGTTTTCAGTATAAGCTGACTACCAATACTATTCGGGAGTTCCTTATCATAACTTATCATCATTGTGAGATAATATACCCCGAAACCCTATTCTGACCATTAAGGCCACATTTTTTAGGTTCATATCGACGATGGGAAGGATCCTGACCCCGAGCCCAGAACATTGAGACGCCACAGTGAAGCAGCCAATGACTCAAGCAACTGCATCCCAGACTGGTTTGCAGCAGGAGATCCATATCTTCTTCGTATACCTACACTGTTACACAGACACACACACACACACACACACAGAGAGACACGTGTACAGATACATTTTGCCGATGAAATGTATGAAGGTATGAAGAAGGTATGTACGTATGTATGTATGTCTGTAAGTACGCATGTATATCATTTCCCTGTCTGCTTTCTTGTGTGCCCAGACAATTGTGGGTGCGTGCATGCGTTCACCTGCATGCATTCAACATGTTGCATTTAGCAATTACATATGGGGGTTTCCGAAATAGGGGACCCTGATATAGTACCCTAAATAATAGGATCCTTGTTATCTTATCAGGACTACCCTAATTTTCGGAAACTCCCATATAGAGTTGGGTTTGGGGCCCGAGCCTTCCCCGAACCCAGAGTTATAGATGAGGCTTTGGGCTTATAATTGCTTGAATGACGGTTAATGTTTCGAGCTTGGGAAGACTACCCCAAAACCATAAACCCAGCCTAGACCCTAAACCCTAAACCCTAAACCCTTGTCCATCTGATCAGACATTCCTGGTTCTTCCTGTCCCTCGGCCCTTTGCTGATCCTCGGGCGATGCTTGGCTGTCGCACTCCCTGCACTGCTTTCCGGATGGCGTTGTGGTCGAAATTTCTGAAAGTTGAATTCTGAAATACATGTCACAGTGGCTCGTTTGGCGCATTGCAGATGCAAATGATAAACACATGTGTGTATAGACATAGTATGTTTATATGTACAGATGTATGGACACACAAAGCGATGACACAGTTCCTAAGCCTCTGAGCCATCATATGGGGTCTTAGGCGGGAGCTGAGGCCGCAAAGCGAGAGCAACATGGGAGCTTCCACTGCTGTCCTGCAAATCCGGGAGCAACGCGGGAACCCCTTCTAATTCCGATAAGTATTTAAGTGTGAAGGTCTGTAGGTATGTAAGTGTGTATTTATGCATGCATGCATGCATACATGCATGCATGCACGTATTTTTGTCTGTAAGTACGTAGGCATGTATGTATGTATGTGTGTATGTATGTACTTGTGTATGTACTTGTGTATGTATGTGTGAATGCATGTATGTCTGTATGTATGTGCATGTTATTTCGTATGTATGCACGTATGTATGTATGCATTCATCCATGCATGCATGCATGTGTTCACCGTAATGCGCACGCTACAAGACGATGATACTGCGCGTCCTCTGGAGCAGCTACCGGAAACACAGGCCGCATGTTGCGGAAATGCGCCACTTCGAGGATGATCTCATACACAATGCATATCAAAGCCTCGAAACCCTATAAGCCCTCAGCCATGCGGTTGCAGAAAGTCAGTAGAAAGACGTGTCGCTGTGAACCGTACTGAATAGCTAGTTGAAATAAACGAAGATTTCATAGCAATCGATGTATGTCACGTTAATTACAAGAATACCAATGAACAGATAGCCATCGACAAAAAGCAAAACCCAGTTCGATGCCCGTCTGCCGTGCCAGGCTGTAGAGCTCTGGGTCATCAAGGCACACGTCGCAAGCATGATATGCTGGGTCCCAAGCACTGCGCCCTCTCGGCAAAAGCACGTGTCCGTGCCATGTATAACGATGTGTAGCGCTACAAGGCACCACATGATCATGGTCCGTAATCTTTAGGGGTGGAAGCTTCAGGCTTCAGGCTTGGTTTGGTTTTGCTCAGCATAAGATCCACATCATACGACTTAACCGTTAACCCAAGGCGAGGATGCTGCCGCACTCGCTGAAAGCCGAAAGAAGGGTGTCTAGCACGATGATTAGTTAGTTTTCCTTGCCTGGGACTGGAGCGTTGCGCCCACTCGTGATCCGGATTCTTTGATCACTTAGAGAAAGGAAAGTGCCTCTATCCAGCCTTTTGGTTGGAAGCCCCAGGGCGACTAGTGTAGCACTTGGATGACCATCGCCTAAAAGTCCCTGGCAGCTTGGCTTCAGAGTCTTGGAAGTACTAGTTTCATATCCCGAGCTATCATCTTAATGAAAACTGATAGCAAAGCGTCGTTTCGCACCTTCGGCCATGGCCCAATATGCATGATTGGACGCAACCTTCGCCTAGGCAACAGGATTCCGTTTCAGTTCCCTGCCGTGTCTCTGGCGACATCCAAAGAGATGAAAACCCGAAGCGCTTCAGAGGGTAAAAGACCAGACTTCCCACCACCCACCTACTTCTGCTGCTGCTACTACTACTGCAGTTGTTGCTACTACGACTACAACGACGACTACTACTGATAATACTAGCACCAAGACTACTCTTGATGCTGCGACAAGAGTTCTTGATCAGTTAAACACGCATGCAGCAGCTTGTACGTTGCACTGCGGAGTGTCTTGAGCGCATATGCCAGCAGATACTGTAGCAGGGCATGAAGATCTATCTGGTACTTCTCTAAACTAGGGTCCTTTTTGAGGTCCCCAAAATAGTACGGCACTCATGAACGAGACCCTAACAGGGACCTTAATGTAGAGAACTACCCTGTTCTGCAACTGGCTGGCTTCCGTTTGCACATCGCTCAGAGATGCCATTTCCTCTACTGTCTTTTTTACGAAGGCTAATGAAACGATGGGAATCATTGCCATCGTCGTTGTCGCCACCATAATTCTCATCACTTTGCCGTAAAAGCAGTTCCAGAAGTCTCGAAACGCTATAATTACCATTTTTACTCGTTGCTTATTATTGGAGATCATTTCGAGCGCTGCACACAAGAATTCCGGCTCTATGCAAGTTGGATCAAACGGAAGTTAGTGCATCAATGTGAAGTCTGTTGTCAAGGCCTTCAGAGCTGGCACGGAGGGCGTGGGAGTGGTTCAACAAGTTTGCCCCCGGTGGCTCTGCCGTGATCGGGAGCGATGTCCGTCTTGCCACTCAGCAGCACCTGGTTTACAACGTGACAAGCGGCTTGCCTTTTGAAGAAGCAATTCCAAAATCTGAGAAGCAAGACTGTTTCTCCTACACTGCGTCCCCGTAGTGGCAAAAGTAGCGGCAGCAGTGCTGTTCACAAGTATGCAGGGACAGCAGAAGCCATCCAAGCTAAAGCACTTTGATCATAGGTTTCCGGCATGACATTTTCCATAGTGAAGGCAGCGAAACTGAAGCTGGAAGGGCCTTTTCACTTCCGACTTGCGGCATGCCGCATGCCTGTGTACAGTGTAGACTACTATGGTGCGACAACCGGCAGTGCGGTAGTGGCATCAACGGAGTACACCCGGCAGTAATGACATAGCACCGCTTCCTGCCACAACGACGAGAGTGATCAATAGTGACCTGCCAACACTGTATTTCAAGAGCAGATCGTGGTCCAGCACTAGAGTAGAAAGGGACTGCACTACTGCAACAGCGGGAGCCACAGCAGAACAGAACAAGCAGAGAACCAAAGCGGCAGCACACCGATGGTAATGCACACTGCTCGCACATGCTCGAACAGCACTGGCGAGACAACCCCACGACAGACAGGCAATCACGCTATGCCGCAAGCAGAATCTCTTGCGGCAGAATACAGTAGTATAACCATGTGAAGCCTTACGTCGAAACAGAGTCATGCAATCTACTGGAAGTAATCCAAGAGCTCCTCAAGAAGAGCCCAGGTAAAGTGTGTCAAAGTGCTTGGATTTACAGTTCTTGTATACGGTAGGATGGAGTTTCTGGAAGCAGGTGAGGCCAAAAATATTTTCTTCATGCTGGAGCCTGTCTGACATCTATCGCCCCAACCACGTGTGCCATTTGCGCGATAGTGATAGCATCGTTCGAAGAAAGCAGACTGCGTTGAAGCTTTCGCCAGTCGTAAGCACGGATGGTGCCCACAGGGAGACGAGCAACAGCGTGGTCCAGGAGGTCTTGCCATGCTACACGGATCCGGTTGCGGGGCTTGCTATTTGGCACGGGGAGGCTTTAGTATAGTGGATTTTGGTTGGGATTTAGCCTGGATGGCTTGTACGAGGATTTCGGTCTTCGCTCTTGGAGCGGCGTCACTTGGTGCTAAGTACAAATCTACATTAAAGGTCTGGTTCATTTGTGCGTCTTATAGCATCTTCGCAACATCCGACACGTGTGTCGGTGCATGGTGATGTGCTCCCGTTAGCCTATGTACGTTCCGCCGGGCTCACATGTGCGAAACCGGCCCGACACAAGCATCTCCAATCCTTCACATGCTAGCTTTCAAACATTCGCAGCTCTCAGTCGCCTTGCGTTGCAGGCTGGAGGTGAAGGTGCAGCCCCAGGCGGGCTCTGCCTTGACTTCCAACATGGGTTAGATAGCTTAATGGCCAACAAGCTGTAACAACTGTATCCAGTCGTCGTACGCTGAAGACCGTATCTGGTAAAGCTGCATACCGACATGTTTGTCCCCGTGCTGTCTAGGTTCATTTCAGCCCGTGATGAAATTGGTCCAAGTATTACGCATCACGGGGATTGGTGCGTTCTACGTAGGGCTTGGCCAGTTGTTCCCGGGCTCATGCTTAAAGTTGAAGCTTCTTTGACAGATAACCAATGCGCAGCTAACTTCACGTCCTTTCGACGAGACTTCTCTGCCAATTTATGTATCTATATGCACTTGCTCAAGAGCCGCGGTGAGCCCAAGCCACGCCGCCAACCTCGCCAAAACCCGTTCCCCAAAGCTTAAGCACATGGAGTCACACCACGTCGTGTGAGGCCTTAACTGAAACTGTTTGATGCCTTTACTTATGGAAGCCTTCTCGCGCAGGTGCCGAACCCACCATTTCAAGACAGAACGCCGCCCCTTTATTCCCTGTGGTAGCTTCCGCAGAGGTAGTGGCCCGAGCAAGATGAAGGACCTGGTTGTCACACTTTTTGGTGCAGCGCTCATTTCGGCATTGCGGGTTCGTGGGTGTTTTGATGTTAATTGAAGGGCTGAGCTTCAGTCTACCTATAGTCATTGTAGTTCCTTTTTGGGGTTACCCTTTGGGATCCTTGATATATAATTGACTATATCACCAACCACCCAGAGCCCAGCACCCCTAAATTGTCGACTGCTGCGCCACTACCATAACCATTTAACGACGACTCCCAGCGTTGTTCTCTGTGTTTCCCCTTGGAGGGCTGATATCGATCGTTTCGGCAAGTTTGTCGGCCGCGCCCTTCGTAGGCCCAGACCTTCCGCCCCTAGTGCTCCCTCGGGCGGACGGTTTTCAGGGGGCAGAGTGCAGATAACCTACGGGTGCACATGGATACAGACGTGGCTTTGATAGATTTTTTTTCTTCGTAGGAGGCCATGCGTGGACTTCATCAGCGCTTGCATGGCTGGGACGGCTGTGTCCTCTAGCTGCCATCCTCTGGCTCACGGAAACAACGGCCACGTCGTAAGCAGAGCTCTTTGCCAAGCCCCGCACGTTGGTATGGGTACTGCATGTTGCTCCCACCCTGCGCACACAGTGCCTCCAACAACACGAAGCTTCACCAGACGATAACTCTAGAGGCCGTTCTATGTCTGAGCTGGGCACAGGGAGACAGCTCTGAGCAAATGCGCAGTTGTATGACCTGCAGGCTGTAGAAGCGGACTGGTTCGAACGAGCCCTTGACCGCAATGGCTCTCGCGCCTTCTGCGCATCCACGGCTGCAGCCCGCCTCGTGCACAAGAACGCAGCATTTTGCTTGGGTCTCGGGCTTGCTAACAGTCACGGAGAGTGTCCATCAATGCCCCAATCGCAGGACTTCGAAGACTCTGAACTTGAGCACAGTCCTCTAATCAGATCAGCGAGCAATGAGCACCGTGAGGTGACCTCTTCCCAGGATGTGCTGCCCAGGCCCCGGCAGTTCTGCAATGCCGCTTCCATCTTGTCACTCTGGTAACCTTTATTGAGGAGGTCTTGCATTCGGCAGGTCATTCTCGCCGCATGCATGCATAATCACATTCATGGCGGACTGCTACTTGTACCATCCAGGCAGGTAGAGGTCTCTTAGGAGCATGAGCAGCCTGGTGCGCCGAGTGTGTGCTGTTGGCCATCATCTCGTCTGAACACTTCCAAATGGACATAGCTGGGGCACACGGAGCATTGAGTATGTGAGCTGTTCCTTGGACCACGACTCCAAACAAGCAAGCACGGCTCCGAGTGCTTTTCAGATCCGGCGGCCCAACAGTGCGCCTTTGAACCCGAGCCTCAACTGGAAGCTTCGCCCCGCCCACACCCCTCGAGGGCGACGCGACCGACCCAAGCGCTGACGTGTGGAGCGACAGCGCTGCTGGCTGCGGCCGTCACGCGACGAGGGACCCAAGAAGTTGGGCAGCTGCAGTGAAATGACCAGCCAGAGAGACCGAGAGAGAGAGAGAGCGAAACAGAGGGAAGGAGCAGCGGAGAGACGCAGAGAGATCGATAGAGTGACATGAGCAGATGAACACATGGGCGCAGAGACAGAGAGGCATACAAAATCCAACGGATAGGAACATATATTCACTGGCGCATGCGAAATTAAATTATAAAAAACGAGTAATTAGTCTGTAAATCGCGGCTGCAAGTCTTGTCTTAAAGGTAAATTAGGGCCATTTCAACGTTAGGAATTTCGAGGCGCAGGAGCAACGGAAGTCCAGAGAAAGCCCGACTTTTGCTTTACAAGAGCTAAAACCACAGAGCTCAGCTTTGGTTCCCTGAATGCCTGATCCACAAACTTTCGAGCTCCGAAGCTGACACTTTTGTGGAGGAGTCAACGATCCGCACAACGCAGGTCGGCCCGAATGGTGTGTCTGTGTAAGGTCAGGGTGCCAGCTGGTTTTGCCATCTCAGAATTCGCAGGATGCATCAGCGTTCAGGTTTGTGGTCTTGATGTTGAGAAGTTTGTTTTGATGTCTAGTACTAGGACTTTCCATGTAAGTAGAGAGTCAAGCAGCTTTCCGAAGTCAGATCCACCACGACGATATCTGATGCACGCTGAGCTTGATGCTTGTATCCTTCACTGTCACTTTGCTGGGAGCACACGTGTCTGACAGCTGTTTTGACAAAGGCATGTAGCATCATGTAAGTAGGTCCGTCCGCCAGCTGGCAGGCAGCCTGACGTGTCTGTTTTCCACGCATCCTGCACTGAATCACCCAAGATCTGCCACATCCTACTACCACCTCGACATCTCGGCTTAGATCATTCCTGCACCGAAGGCTTCACGACATTGCAAGCGACTCCGTTTGCTGAAGCTGTTCAGCTCGGCAGGTTCACACATTGCCTTGCTGCAATCCCCGACAGCGAGCTGCCGCCCTGTGCCTGCCGCAGCAACTTGCACGGAATAATTTGTGGATCCGACAGGCTTCGGTGCTCACGTCAGCTGCCGATGCACCATATGCCATAATATGCTTTGAGGGACAGCTGCCGGCAAGAGTCTTCTCTGTTGAGGTCACGTTTCATCAAGTCATCATTTGAGAAGATGACACAAATTGCAGTAGCTCCGGCATTGAAGCCTTTGCGGCAGATCCGTCTGCTGCACCTGCGCCCCAAGTTCAGAGAATGTGAAGACTGGTTGGCTGTAGATAAACTCAAAGGCAGTAGTGCTCACGCCAGCAACCTGGTGGCCTGTTTTGCAACACCGGGAAGAAGCATCTTCAAATGTCCGTCTAGGAATATAGTAAGACTTGCCTCTCTTTTTTTTAAATTTTACTACATATATCACATGTAAGTGCATGAATACTTCTACCTGTATCTACGTACAAACAAACAAACAAACATACATACATACATACATACGTTACATAGGTACATATGCTATATACATACATACACACATACACATGTGTATGTGTATATTCTATATATATATGTTACTCCAACACCTCAGGTGCCCACATTTTTGGGTGTTTGAAGGAGGAGTAACCCGGAGTCAGGGTTCAAACGTGCGAGCAAAGTTGGGATTCTTTGGATTATAGTGATCTAGTTCGCATGCCGCATGACACGACGAAATGGGTACGTTTAGACAATCAAAGACCCCTGGTGTAGTTTCCAGCATGTGTTTGGGAGAGGCGGATGCACTGATACACTACTCATATCACGCAGTATTCAACCAACTAAAGTTTGAGTACTTGATTGAAATTTCGAGGACATGGGTAACAACTACACAACAAATAGACAACAACTACTCGTAAACGAAAGATTTCGAAGAAGCGTTCATAGACTCGTTTGCAACTTCTCGCAGATTATATATTTGGCTCAATTTTACTACCTGGATTGGCTTGCCCCTCCAACTTGTTCTTTTTTGGGGTGTTGGCTTTGCAGAAGAACATCTGTTTGAATCCACCAGGATGCTACATCTCGAGGAATCGTAAGACATGCTATCGACAAAACAGACGTGGGATTCAATAGTAACACACACACAATTAAAAACAACAAAAAACGTGACTTACAAGTTAAGTGCTGGATGCCAGATTCAGCGTCATTGATGAATAATAAAGGCTGGTTTACATGGCTTTCAGCACGAGTGACAGCATGATTCATGCGTGTGCGACATGGGTTCTCAGCGTTTCGTTTGCATCAGCCTCGTACAAGACAGACGCAATGCCGCAATACTAGCTACAGCGACAGGAGTATTAACAATACCAGTAACAATAATAGCCGTCATCGCCACTGTCACAAACGAATCGAATAAGTTTTTTCATGCTGGAACTAAAGCCGCATCACCACAAGGCCACAGATTCGATATCAAGGGCAGTGATGGTGTGTGGGTATTGAAGCAAACCTTGTTTCCGGCAGTTAGCTCTACACTAATGTCGAACGGATGTTTTTTGGCCCATTTCACATACCACCGAACCAAAGAATCCGTATCACAGGCTTGTACTTGTCCAATCTGTATGGACACCTGTGTTGCAGAACCAGTTGACGTCCAACGACGGATATGTGACTTTGTCTAATGCGAAGTTTAACAAGTATGAGAGACAGCTATTTCGTGTGTAGCATGTATTTAATGCTTCATGTTTACATATCACTTGACTACTGGTTCGCTCATGTACGCTAAAGACGTTGACGGTTACCAACCACAACTACATACGGCAACTTTGGGGTAGCGCATGTTTAGTCGAACTTCGGTCATATAAATTGTTATGTAGGTTATACTTACTCTGCGCTTCGTCATTGCTCAGATTACTTTAACTCATACTATCCTTCTTCATAGTTCGCTCTTATTGAAGCAAGTACAGTATTTGTCGTGAAATGAGTTCGGCGCATTTTCGCAGTTGTTGCTTGCTCCTGTTCAATGAATCATTGTTACTTTCTAGGCGATGAACCGGTACTTTCTCAACCACTACGTCTTGTTTGGTTTTTGTGGTGTTATCACTGCAAACAAAGAATCTATTTTGAGTTACATGCCAAGCTACTTGCATATATACTGGCTTATAATGATCCAAAGTAGTTGGCAATGGTTTGTATATGGATGCTGAATACTTCCAGTATTAGACCTACACCAAGAATAAGAGAAGTACATGCGATTGCCTGTTAAATCTGACTAGACAATGCTATGACTATTGAGGTCTCGAATATGATATGCCTGGTCAAGAAAATTCCTCAAACCTGAGTTCGATACTACGAGTATTCTCAAACCCAGTAGAAGCCTAAGCACCTGTATTGGGGGAGAGTAGCTAATGATTAATGACCACTAGCTGCATCAGAGACGAAAAGGTTACGAATGTACACAAAACCATCATTACCCTGCATCGTCTTGAAGCACCAGCTCTTGAACAACATACCCCTAGAGTCTCTAGTCAAAACCTTGTTGAGAACAACATATGTTTGGAACCAAAGCACATAAGATCGATCTCCTTCGTGGTTTGCACCAGATCGAAAAGCCTCACGCAGACCCCCTGTACGCAAGCATGCAGCATGCGACGCCGCAGACAGTATTTTTCCTGCAAAATCCCCAAATCCAAAATTCCAATATTTTGGCTGAGGCCAATTTGGAATTTTGGTGTTTATACTTTTGGGTTTTTGGATTTCAATGAGAATCCAAAAATCCAAAGTTACAAAAATCCAAAAATGGTTCTGGCATCTCCACGAAAACATTGGGTTTTGAGATTTGCAGGAATGGTGCCTGTTGGTAAAGCAGTGCTACTTCCGAAGGGAACACTGCTTTCCTTTTTCGGTTAGTGGCATTCGAAGTGAGCAAGCTTCATAGGGGGGAAGGCTTTCGTTATCTTTCCGTGGACGCGAAACAGAAATGTGGGCACATGGGGGGNNATATATATATATATACACACAGACATTTGATTGATAGCTTGCAGGTCCTTCTCCTTGATGACTGCCTGTCGCTGTTATGTTTAATGTTTCCTTGTGATTGATGGGTCCGCACGTAACAGGTTGGTGCCACCATGAATCTTTCCATGCTATCTGTATATCTATATATATATATATACATACAAAGTATGATGCACACAAAGGTAGATACAGATATGTATATATGACTATGTATGTATGTATATAAAAGGCTCGAAGTCCGATTTCGTCAATCGAAGGCAAGCTCCACGGTGCGGATGTCTACATCATCGGAACTGCACACATTTCTGCCAAGAGCGCCGCCGATGTGGAGGTTGGCTATGGTGGAGCGGGCTCGCTGTAATTACAGGGCTCATTTCTTTCGCATTGAGATTGGTGAAACCACAACACGTGCCCGGGTAACTTCTTGGCAAGTGAAGCAACTACTCGAATGCGCGAAGAGGCCGCAGCAAGTGCCTTTTCGTTTTGAAGACAAGTGCGGCCCCATGCAAGAGTACTGCCTCTTGCTGCTCATAATGTCACTCAGCAACTGCAACTTCAGATCCTCGCGCCGTAGATGGAATCTCCCACCTGTAGACCTAAGTTGGGTTGGGTGCGGGATTGGAGATGCGAGACTCTGCCTGCGTGCAGGCACTGATATCTCGCTTGGAGCCGGACCGTGTGGTTGTGCCTTGGCGGCCATGCGCCGCTGCAGATGTCAGACAGGTTCTCCTCAGGTCTTAGAGAAGGTGCAGGCTTCTGGCTATCCATGCATTATCGCAAAATGACAATATGGGTCGCTCACGTTTCAGTAGTTGTGCTGGCGACGAGGGCTTTGGGGTTTCTGCCACTGGGGCCGTGTCTGAACTTGCAACTTCGTTTGTATCGCAGAGTCTCAGCCCTCAAAACCAAATACCAGACCCTCTTCCCGATCGACAGTCCGATGATTAGCAAAGTGATCTGTGAGCCCTTACCTGAAGCCCGAACAGCCCGCGAAGCTCTTAGGTGGAGCTGAGCCGTGAGCGTATCAGCAGCTTGTACCCAGCTGGGGCCACGGCCACCGAGAGACCTGGCTCAGAACGATAGGCTTAGGCTTGAAGGTGAAGAAAGAATTTAGGATTTTTGGTGGTTTTAGGGTTTATGTGGGGCTTAAGATTCAGGGTTGAGGTCAATCGGGGTCCAGGGTTGATTGCTCTCGTGGTGCACAACGCATCACCTGCAAGCAGCAGGAAGTATCTGGGAGAACGAACGTCGTGGATGTGATTTCGAAAAGCCGCAGCGACATGTTTGTGTAACCCGTTGTCGTCGAAGTCATGACCGCAGCAGCTACAACCCGTGCAACGACAACTGTGTTTTACAGTAATTCCGTTGATATGTTGCTGGTACATTCTTTCCTTTTTGCAGCAGCCGCACCGCGATGGCGACGTGTTCGAGCATGGCGAGCACAGAGGCAAAGGCAGAGGAGCAGCACAACGACGGCCAAGAGCACCACAAGCGCTCTTCAAGCTGGCTGTCATAACATCCGCAACATCTGACATTCGCTACTTGTGCGGACATGTTTGAAAGAGGCAGTGCCGTGCTGGTGAAATTTCAGAAAAGTGGTTGATGCCTTCTACACAATATGGGAGTACCATGGATGCCAGCCTAGGGCGGCGGACAAATGCAATTCGACCATGACCAGAGCAACGCCGGCTACATTACGAGTCAGCTGGTCGTGCGAATCATTGCAATGGCTAATCAGCTAATCAACCATGAACAACGATGACAGCAACGAACCATAGTGGCAACAGCAGAAGACTGCTAGTAGTCGTGGTATTGGTACTGGTGGTAACATCAGAAGAGACAACACGCGAAACGTTTGTGTCTTTATTGCACGATATGCAGCAGGACCGAGGGGAGCCATCATTGCTCGAGCAAGCATAGAGTAATCGCAGCAACCAGAGTGGTTTCAGCGATTCCGTCATGTCAGGAGTTCTGTGTCGTCGCAGAACTCCTGACATGACAAACGGAGTCGAAGCAGTGGCCGCAGTCGTTGCGGCAGGCGTTGTGGTCATGGTGGGGCGGGGCTGTAGTAGTATGAATAGCAGAACTACCATCACCAGCAGTAGGAGCAGGAGGAGGACTCGTAATAGTAAGGGTGCCGACTCTTCCTGCCTCCCAGCAGCATTTATCATTTAGGCAGCTGTATGTGCAACCATGCTTCTCGTTGTCCCCGTAGCCCTCTCACACTGACAGAGCTTGGCACAAATCTTGGCAGCAATCAGCAGGTGAGACTGGCGAATTGCATGTAAATCATGCAGCAGAAACGAACCCGCAAGCTCCCTCGACACATGCGGTGTAGACAGAGGAGCGGATCTCTTCAGATCAACCTGGAGAACACGCCGCAGGGCTTCCCAGTGGTCGTGGGCCATTCCGAGCATCCCGACTCAAATCTCAGACGAGTTCCATTTGTATATCTTAAAATCAAGGCTTCTTTGGGAGTGTTCGGCCTTCTCTAGAACCACGAGCCCAAAAATCCGGAGGATTTTGCCGAAAGTTGGAATCTGCAGCCAGCCCACTTCGTGAACCCTGCAGACTTTGCGTCACTCTTTTGCATGAGCTTTTTGGACTGTTACCCGCCCTCCGGCCTAAACTGTCTAGTTGGTAACGCTCTTTTAACATGGAGCTCTTAAGTATTGATACTTATAGTATGATATTTACCCCGCAGGAGATGCACGGGATTTTGGCGGCGTAGGAGGAAGGAAAGAGGGAGGTTGACACCTCCCAACCCATCCAGCTCCCCAGAACCCCATTCTACTTAGTAGAATAAGGTTCTGGGAATTCTACTTCCTAAGGACTTTAGGAGGGACCCCTAATAGGGACCCTTAATCCCATTACCTTAAATAACCATTGTATAGTCCTGATATACCCCTTATATAGCCAGGTAGTCTCCATATTAACCCCAAGAACCTACAAGGGTCCCTATCAAGGGTCCCTCCTAAACCCCTTAGATGCTTATCCCAAAGGCTCCATGTACCTGTATAGTAGATACTTAGG